ATTGTTTTTAGCTTTATTTTTTATGTTTTATTAATTTTGCTGTTCTCAGCTCAACTCAATTTTTGTTTATTTTACTGTTCTTAGCTGTTTTTTTGTAAAGAAGGCCAAATATGAGTGGAAATGTTGAAAATCAGTTGTATAGGTGCACTGCACGTAAAGGCACATTTTAACTATCAGACACAAAGTATTACTCATAAATATTTTCTGTTCAAATTAAACATTACATGCATTTATTCACTTAACAATTGAAACTCAAATTTAAAGTATGAGAATGTGAGCGTGTACTTGTCTACTTGTTCATGTGTGTGTGTGTGTGTGTATGTGTGTGTGTGTGTGTGTATGGTGATTCTGGGAAGGCAGAAAACTTCAATAAAATTGGCCACATCAATCAAGTGGAAGAAAGTCCAAGCATTCAGTGACATGCCATTCAGTTGAAGCATTTGTAATGTCTAAAACGTTTGCTGCAAGAGAGTTTCACTCTTGACTAGTTGAAGTACATCCGCATGGTATGAAAGCTTTCTCCTGTAATTGATTCAGTTTCTATGAAAGAGACTTTACTAAAGAAAGAGAGTTCTCACACTGAGTCAGCACATGCAAATATCTGAAACCCCAGCGGTGGCTGTGAAAATACAAATGAGTGTGTGAATGTGAGTGTGTTTCTCTGCTGCAACTGCTGAAATTGTAACATTTATAACACAGATATCTGGAATGAACCCTCTGTCAACCTGTGGGTTATGGAGTCTATGTGTTTGTTTGTGTTGTCATAGCTTTAACAGTGTAATGTTTCACTTTGTGATTTCATGCTGGGGATTTTTGCTACTACCTCACCCGGTCTAAGGGGGACATTAAATACTAAGTTGATTTTTTCTTACTAGATATTTAAGACAATGCTTCTTTTAAAAGCTTTAGCCTGAAATACAGATGCATTTACTTTTTTTTTTACCTTTGTGACCTATTTCCTTATTTAAGAGCCAATTTATCATATTCAAATAAAATAATACATTTGTAAAAATGGTGTCTGACATTTGTCAACAGATTGAACTCTTCAGATTATTTTCTTTCTGTCTCTCGCTTTCTCTCTTTCTGTGTTTGTGGTTGCACACCTGTCCAGAGCTCTGCACACAAACACCTGCTCTTTAGTTAAAAAGCTAATCATAGAGCTGATGGATCCTGACCTACTCTCAACTTGAGCCTCATTCTAATTTCACTCACCCAAAACATATACAAATAGTTGAGCTTGCACATGATGTGCCACACTACATGCACACACACAAATCCTAAGTAATGGACTCCGGGAATCTGGCATGAGCCAATTGAGTTTCTTATAGTTCAGCTACTTTCATAATAGTGTAGCTTTCCAGTAACAAAGCTACTTTATGAAAGGCTGTTGTAAATGTCTAAGCTGGGAGAATAATCAAACCGGCTCACCTCAATGGTCCTCTATTCCTCTTTTAAATGTAGCATATAGGAAAGCTTGATTCATTTAAGTGAAGTGAATCAACTCATCCTTATCAGCCCACTCGCACATGCAATGTTGGGAAGTCTGATTCATTCTAGTGAATAGGTTCATCCTTAATAGTCTGCTCTCATATATGTAGGACTGGGAAGGTGGACTCATTCTAGATTCATTCTAATAAATCGGTTCAAACAACGTGGTCCTTTACTCTCATATGTAGAGCTGAAACTTCCTATTCATTTCAGTGAATTGGTTCATAACAATCCGCTCTCATATGTATCGTTGGAACGTTAGATTAATTATAGTGTATTGGTTCATTTAGACAATTCCTTTAATTCATTTAGTTCATTTAATTTAACCAAATTAAACAAAAGGATTCACCAATTCTAGTCCATGTATACGTTGTTTATGTAATGTTTTGTTGTATTTAGTATAAATTTACATCCACAAGAGATTGTCCATTGTTTGTAAACCCTTCATTTCTTTTGAATGAGAAAAAAAATTGATGTTACAATTGGAGCACCCATCATTCATAAAGTGCCCCTTGTATGTTAGCTTATTAAATATTCTGGCTAAGTGCTCTCAGCTCTAATTAACAAATTTTACCATATTTAAATCCATTCCACAGATTTTCAACCAAAAAGCACAGAAAAAGAGTCTCCAGATATCGTCTGGCCCTGGTGACATCCACAAGCTGACTCATCACAGAACTCATGTTCACATGTACACAGAACTTTATTATCTGAACATTAAAGCGTGTGTGTATTGCCGTGTTTGATGTGTCTAAAGGTAATAGCCCCAATAAGACTCTCCCATTCTCTGTTTAGACATAATGAGAATAATAGTTGTGCTCCATCAAACAGATCTGTGCTTTCACTGTCTGGCCAGATCCTCAACCCAGACCTCGTCTAATGACTGTTTATCAGTACTTACGTTTATTAAAGACACACAGAAAAAGGTTGGAGGTGAAACGGGCCAGAAAGTTATTGTTTACAAGACAACAACCACGTCATGTGGCGGCATTGTGAATAAAAGCTGATTTAGTACAAAACCAAAGTCTAAAAACAGTTAACTTAAGCCTCATTGACTACATTTAAGCACACACACTGATGCATGCATGCTTCAACAAAGGAATTCTAACCCTTGGGGCATGTCAAGGAGAGAAAGGTAGAGTTCAGACAGAAGGGAGGAATGAAGATTGAGTGAGTGAGTGAGTGAGTGAGTGAGTGAGTGAGTGAGTGAGTGAGCATATGGATGAATAAATGAAAAATGTGCAGCAGAGAGATGGCTACTTTGTAAATAAGTTACTGTTTGATGTTGGTTTCACACAGAAGCAACAGGACTGCAGATGAATATGCTGCTATGGTGAACCGCAGGGGGTCTGTGAGGGATGATACAGCACTAGTTTAATAATGAATCCTAAAGCCTTCATTTCCCCAAAGCCCAGCGTCCACAGCCTTCTTCTCACGCACACATCCCCCTAGAGAGAGACTGCAGTGGGGGAGAGAATGTGTGTGTTCCTCAATGAGTGGCTTTGATGTGAGTATTTTCATCCTTATGATGATTTTGGGAAAAAAAAGTCATACATGTTTGAGAATTTTCATTTTGGGGTGAACTATCCCATTCTTTTTTTTTTTTCTTTTTCTTTGGGTGAACTAGCACAGTCTTAAAAATAATGGTTCTAAAGGGTTGTAGCAGAACCATTTTCGGGTTTCCCAAATCATTTTTCAGTGAACAGTTCTTAAAAGAACCATTCTATTCTTAGTGTAAAGAATATTTTAACCTAACACTTTAATCTAAATAACGTTTTCCACTATAAATAACCTTTTTGAGAATGAAAAGTTTCTAATGGATGTTAAAGGTGCTTCATGGAACCATAGATGCAAATAGAGAACCTTTATATTTAAGAGAGTAAGTAGGTCACGTATAGCATATATTTTCATAAATATTATTTTCCGTTGCTTAGCAAATGTCCTTTATCCATAATGGCTTACATAGTTTTACATTGATTACTGGTTTATGTGTTACCTATTGGAACAAACTGATGCTTAGCTCCTTAGCCTTGAGCAAGAACACATTTCTATTAATTTGTTACTTTATGTTTTGCTATGAACCCTACAAGACCACCACATGAAATGCTAAAGGAAAAAAATAAGAGCGTTGCAGAAGACAGTGTTTTTATTTGAAAAGATAAGGAGAAATGTAATAAAAAGGCATTGTCTGAAAAGTTTCTGAGTGAGTAAGGGAGTGAGGGAGAGAGAGAGAGAGAGAGAGAGAGGTGGACGA